AGTAGGTTGTTGCAGATAGCTGAGAACATTCATCAAACTTCAGTCTCTGTGTCCTGTCCCTGAGGGTAGGGCTAGTGCTCAGCTTAGAGTGTAGCAATGCTTGGGGCCAAGGCCTCTGGTCCCATGAGTCTACTCTGAGACTCTGATAGGTAAGAGTAAGCCATGTACATTGTGGGTACGATTTGGTTGGGTCCAGGGAAGTCACAGGGTATATTTATGCAGAAGGACCAGTTCCGGGTTAGAAGCTCAGGGGAAGTGAAATTTATGTAGGCGAATATGACACTGGCTGGGATGTGGGTATGTGGAAAGAAATGATTCAGCTCCTGTTTCTTCTCTCCTTGTTAGCTTTTTATTCTGACGCTTATCTTCTTTGGATAAAGGGGAATGCATTGATTTTGGTTCTTGTTTGCCAGACCCATGAGTACAATGTGTAAATAACCCAAGCCTCTGTTTCTTTCAGCGTGCCAAAGGGGCCTTGCAGAGTATTACTGCTGGCCAGAAGGTCATTAGCAAACATAAGAATGGGCGCTTCTACCAGTGTGAAGTGGTCAGGCTCACCACTGAGACCTTCTATGAAGTCAATTTTGATGATGGCTCCTTCAGTGACAATCTGTATCCTGAGGACATAGTGGTAATGTCTGCAAGCAGCTTCTCTGGCAGTTTGGGACTTAGGAGTTTCTAGGCCTAGTTGGTAGACTGCCTGTGGGTATGCTTGCCTTTATTAATAGGTCCTGTGAGTTCTTTAATTTTCCCTAAAAGACATTTATACTGGTTTTTCCTTGCAAGGAAAACTGTGCTAATGGGTTACTGTGCTCCCCCTAAAATTTCATGGGAATCAGTATTTTCTCCAGTTCTCTAAACTACACATGTTTTGGCCAGACTATCCTGAAGGCACCTAATAGAGTGGAAAAAGCCCATTCTTTAGTATCAAATTGTGCACGTTTTGCTGTTCCAAAAGATGTATGACTTTTACAGAACTATCCAGCTATTTTTTCTACCATGCCATCTTAGCAGATGTAGAATCTGCTCTTTGCTATTTACAGTTGAGGGCTTTGGGGCTAAGGAAAAACTGGTGGGAACCTCGCTAGGCCATCTTCTTCCAGGCCTGTCATTTCATTCAACCATCACTGATTGTGCACCACACCTTAAGCTGGGATATAGTTGAACAGTCATTTTAAAGTATCCTTTTCTAGGAGTAAAGGTTCTAATGTATTGTGCCATGACCCATCGTAGGTAACTACTTTTTGTAACTTGCCTGTGTTTTAAAAACACCGTTCTTAAATTCTGAGTAAATTTCTAGCATTTCTTTATGAAGAGTTGTAGAAAACAGGTGAGTGGATGTGAAGATCACTGATTTTGGCACTTAGCTCCTATGCTTACTGAGTTTGCTAAATTCATTATGCCTGTTCATTTTGTCACCTAGAATCAAGATAAGAGATACAGGGTAGACTCTGATTTGCAAATAACCTTTCAGCCCAGAGTAAGTAGTCTATAGGAATGTCAAAGCGGAAGCATAATCTATAACTTATTTTTCCCTGAGTAGATGTCAGTTACCATTGTGCTGAAGTGGACCTTTCATTGTCCTTTTTTCTTTCTTCAGAGCCAGGACTGTCTCCAGTTGGGTCCTCCTGCTGAAGGAGAAGTGGTCCAAGTGAGATGGACAGATGGCCAAGTCTATGGAGCTAAATTTGTGGCTTCTCACCCCATCCAAATGTACCAGGTAGTCAAAGGTTCCTGTTAGGAGTGCGTGATAGTCAATTCATTCAGTGTTGTCTCTTGGGTCAGGTGATTCTCTGCTTTTCAAAGAACTACTATAGGTTGGTAATAAACTTTGTAGAGCTAGCTCTGTCCTACATCTAGTTTCCTAGTGTGCGGAAGTGGCAGTCCTTATTACTTCAGTGCTGTAGTGATTTCCTTTGGATGAAGAAAACTGCTATTTTCATGGGGTAGACAAGGGAAACTCCAAGGTACCCTAGCCCAAAGGTCTTTGTGTCACTGGCAGGTGGAGTTTGAGGATGGCTCACAGCTTGTGGTTAAGAGAGATGATGTGTATACACTGGATGAAGAGCTTCCCAAAAGAGTCAAGTCTAGACTGGTGAGTGTGTTTTGTGTGCCATTGGATCCCAGGAGCAGGAGGGAACAGAGCTGGGGCATGTCACTTTTTCTCCCTTGGGAGAGTTGGCTATAAAGTTATTTGGTTTCCCTGTTCTTCTGCAGTCAGTGGCCTCAGACATGCGCTTCAATGAGATTTTCACGGAAAAAGAGGTGAAGCAAGAAAAGAAACGGCAGCGGGTCATCAACTCTAGATACCGGGAAGATTATATAGAGCCTGCACTGTACCGGGCCATCATGGAGTAGGTGCTTCCAGCGTCCAGCAGGTTCCCAGCCATGGAGGCGAGAGCGCTCTGGTGTTCCACAGCACAGCAGACACACAGAACTCTGAAGTCTCTAAAAGTGAAGTTGTAAAAAGAAAAGGAATGAAATCTTCGACCCCATCACCTTCTTAATCCGCCCTCTTCACATTCTGCCCTAGTGAAAGGACAAGCCATTTTGGGACATGTGGCAGCAGCTGCTGATCTCTCAGCTGAGAGGCTGAGCACTGGAATGCTGTGGCTGTACTGACCCAGGTTCCAAAAGGAGTCAACTGTGCCAGTTGGGCAGATTGCCCTGCTCCTGGCCTAGGACTTCGTTTCCTACCAATTAATCACCACCCTCTAGGCAGAGGTGCTGGTACTTTCCCGATTCCTTTTGTATTTATATGTGTGTGTGTGCTCGAGTGTGTGCGTGTGTGTGGGCGTGTGTGTGTGGTCTGGATCAGCTTCTGCAAGCCCCTGGCCTTTACTTTCTTCCTTGCCTATGCAGGGCAAACAAAATGTGAAATTCTGTTCTCGGCTAAGCTGAGTAAAGGCCCCTGGGAGTTGGCTGGAGGTGGATGTGACATCTGTCTAGGCCTGGAATGGCCCCAAGAGAATGCTGGCAGAGCTGCAGTATTGAGATGCTAAGGAGTTGATGCCATCTCTTTGTCCTCCTTTGAAGGAGAACATAGGGGTAACATGGTCATGTGCCCTAAACATTCTAGGGGACAGAGCTTCAGTGGCACAGTATTAGAGGGTGTGGGTGGGGAATACCCTCAAGGGAGGACTTTAATGATGGAAGCAGGCAGAGCCTGGTGGGTGAATCTGTTAAAAGAAAATTGCAATCATGCAAGGGCAGGGAGGGTTAGGATGAACTGGGGCCACTGGAGGCCAAGGGCAATTATAGGTATGCCCTTGGTCTGGGGGGTGGGTGGGAGGGGCTTGATTTCAGGGTGGGGGGGTGGGATAAGGGAGCAATACTGAGGGGGTTAAACAGGTTTTTGCTCCTCACAAATTTGTTTGCCTGGGCCCGGGATTGGAGGGGGGTCACAATTATTCCCTATGTATACAAGAAACAAATTTATAATTCCCCTTTTTTTGTTACGTATGAACGCTATAAACCAAATTATTTTGAAAACTGGTGCATCACCTTGTCCTTAGCAATAAAGTATGTTGAGCAGACGATTGGTTGTGTCTGCCCCAAGGAGCCCACAGGGCCCAGGGTCAGGCAGGGGTGTATCCAGAGTCATAGGCTCTGGAGAGGGCTACTATGTATCTTAAGAATCAGTCAGGCCTAGAAAGAGACAAAGTATGGTGAGTTATGAAAGAAGGGCCCTTCTGGCTAGGATCACCTTTTTGCTTCCCCGGTTTTATAGATGGCCAAGAGAAGGTAATGGGAAGGACCAAACCACTCTGAGTCATCTCAACATTGAACTCTCACTTCCATTCTATCTGATTTATCTTTACTGAGCTATGTCTATGCGAGCTTCCACACACATTATGGAACTAATTGAAAGGAAAGAAAGTGTTAGTGCTTGAAGACCAAGCAACTTATCCCCCAGTGATGTCCTAAAGCTGCTTGCTGAGCTACCTGTGGTTCCTTAAGAAGCCTGCCTATTGGGTCTCGGAGGGCTGAGTAGTTGAGTGTAGGGGTGCTTTGGGATAGAGAGGAGCAGTGGCTGCAGGATTAGAAGAGGCTTGGGTCAGCTCACTCAGTACTTTGTGTTCCTGGGCTTTGGGAGGTGGTTGCCACTTGGTACAAACTGAGGGGAATGGAGGAGCAAAAGATTTCAGATATGCTGTTTTTAACACTACTTGGGCCAAGAAAAGAAAGTTGACACTTATGTGGGATTTGGGGGCTTCTGGTGAGGTCGGGCAAGGCCAGGACTTACTGGTTTGATGACTGGGTCCCAGGCCTCTCCACTGGCCTTATTATAGCCTACAGCCTTGCTTTAGAACCTACAGGGCAGGCTGCCTGATCGAATCCCAACTGAGACATTTTATTTTTTGACGAGGTATCGCTGTGTAATTAAGAGTGGTCTTGCCTTGAACTGCTGTACTCCTGCCTTAGCCTCCGGAGCGCTGGGATTACAGGTTTGTGCCGCTGTGACTCTCCCGCTGTGCGGCAGAGACTTTTAAGCCAGCCATTTTTCTAAAAAGGTTGCAATTTTAACTTGTGGCAGTGTAATGTCCTTTAGGAGACCCAAGCTCAAAGAGGTGAGTGATAGGGCTTTCCAACTCACAAAACGCTGTCGGGACTGGGTACAGGACCTGAACATCCTACAAGCCTGCTGCTCTATTACTGAGTCACACGGTCATCCTTGTCCTGTGGTTCCCTCTCGCTGCCAGTACAGTCAGGCCCAAACAAAGGCCGCATCTTAGGCGAGTTCCCCCCAAAATATGTTTGCCAAGGTTAACAGCCTTCCTCTAATAGGGTGAGGTCTTAGGGTTGGTATCCAAAAGTGGCAGAAATCCATCCTTAAATTGTATCAGTGTATCACCAGGACTCAGTTGCTGGAATGAGGGAAGCAGAGTAGGAGAGAGAAGAGGACTCTGGAATTGCAAAATTAAGCAGTTGAGCAGGGTTAACTAGTGCACCCACCGAGTATCGAGGTTCTAAGTTGGTGACAGAGGCCGGCGGCCTGGATGCCCATACCCTCGTACCCCGCGGGACTGCGCAGACACGTTAAAAGTCCGGAAATCCGGAGCCCTGGGCCTCAGCGGCCCGGTTGGCTCTCCCGCCTTGAGGACTAGGAGGGGCGTATACCGGCGGGGAATCACCGTGGCCAATCTACATTTCTGTGCCCCAAGTTTCGACAAGGAGCTCGCGAAGACGCTGGGTCCTCGGGAAGGCCTGAGCGCCCTTCCTGCTTTGCAATCGGCGGGAAGCTTCCTGGGCCGAGGGGACGGGAGCTGGGTGAAGGAGCAGCACTTGTACCTCTTGCGGCACATCCTCGGCGCGCCCGGAGGAGGCCAGGCGGAGAGCTCCGGGCTCCAGCGCCTTTTTGGGCCGTCCGCCTCCACGCCCGCCCTAACTGCGGCGCAGCCCACATTGGTTACCCCAGCGGCCCGTCCGGCCCCCGCACGCCTATTGGCGGCCGAGGCCCGACCCCCGACGAGGGCTCCGAGGCGGAGAGCCGGATTGGTGGTCCCATCGTCCCGGGTCGCAGTCGCACGCTCCGCCCGCCGCTGCGTCCCCACTATGGCGGCGCCCATACAGTCCAGCGCTTCGTGGGCGCCAGCCGGGGTTCCCCGCGGCTGTGGCCGCTGCCTGCGCCTTCCTCCCTCGCTTGGGGCTGGGCGCTGCCTCTCCCCGGCCTGCCTCTCGGCTGCGGTAAGCACTTGTCCCGTGCGCTTATGGGCGCGACTGGGATCGCGGATGAGGGCTTGTCGCCTCGCCCCTCCCCCAGGCCGGGTCTGGGGATGGACCGATGCCGAGCCCGCGCTCCTGTGCCGAGAGCGACCTGGCGGCGTGGCCCAGGGGTCGGCCTGGGTTTTGCACGACCTCGTGGTGTGGGGCCGCTAGGCCTAGGAGCAAGGCCGGCCAGGCGGGGGCCAAGCAGTCCGAGCTTGCCCGCTTGCGGGATCTCGCGGCGCCGCGACCCTTGGCGCAGAGGAAGGATGCAGTCCTTCGGGCATTGCTGTGGGAAGACGGACAAGTTTAGGGAGTCAGCCTTGCGAGCTTAGCGGCTGTCATTGCTTACTGCTCTGTCAGGAGCTAGGTCTTCAGAGGCGACAGGGGGCAGTTTGATTGCCAAGTACTCTTCCTTTCTATCTGGAGCTTTCTTCTCATTGTCTTCTCCTCGGCGATCTGGTTTGCAAGAGTAAACATGTTCGGGAAGAGATTGCGTTTGGTTAGGAGACTGCGTGTTTAGTATGTTGAATTCCTTTTTTACACCGGTACCCGTTTTTCTCATTCTGTTTTTTGTTTTTGTCACATAGGAGGGAGGGATCAATGAAGTCAGCTGTTGTCTTAGGAAATAAAGAATATTTACAGATTGTTCTGTGACACTACACTTCTTTGGGTGTGTGTGTGTGTGTGTGTGTGTGTGTGAGATGGGATCAAAACCAGGACCTCAAACATAACGTGGCAAGCACTCTCCCACTGAGATACACGCTCAGCCCAATTTCAGTATTTTGAGTTCTATAATGTTGGACATGAAGGATAAAAGAAACACTAAGTTACTGAAAGTAAGTCTTCATGACAATTTAGATTGTTTCTAAGTCAGAATCACTTTGGAATGATGATCACTGAACTGTTTGATATGTCTTTAAGTCAGCAGTGAGGGAATTGAAAGAAAGCTGTTATAGAAGTTGGTGACCCAATGGTAGCTTCAAATAATCTCTTGAAGTACTAATTGAAGTGGGTTCGTTAGTGGTGTAGGAATCTAAGGAGCCAAATTGATAAATTTGGAATTGTATTAGCTGTGCTCAGCTGGAGCCCTGTTTTAGAGTCCAAACGAATGGCACCGAACTAAAAGGTTACAGGGCTTTTGAAACAAAAAAAATCCTGTTGGAAACAATTTAGCTAGAATATTACATTAATTTTTAATTGACACCTGTGTCCTGCTTCTTTGTTGAGCAGGTTAATTTTTCTCTTGTGAGTGCAGCTCATTCTGCTTTTCTCATGGGACTTGTACCCTGAATAATTTTTCCATTCTTCTCTGTCAAATACAGGGCACAAGATGGCGTTAGTTATGTCAACCCACAACACTAATAACTCAAGTATAGTTTGAAGTAAAGTGGTGAATTTCTTAAGACTTAATGTCTAACTGTGGCTTAACAGAACAGTGGTTATGGAACAAGACTCACGTGAGTCTAGATTGCCTTGCTTAACCAAGTGTCTATTTTTATTTGTTTTGAGAGAGGGTCTCACTATGTAGTTCAGGCTGGCATTGAACTCACTATGTGACCCAGACTGGCCTTGAACTCATAGCAGTCCTCCTGCCTCAACCTCCTGAGTGCTGGGATAGCAGATGTGTGGCACCATGCCTAGCTCCCTCAAGTGTCTGTTGAGTGCATATTTTGTGCAAAGTGTTGTGGAAGGGAACTGAAAGACATTTAAGATATGAAATTTATTCTGCTGGGCCTGTAATAGAGTAGAGAGCATAAAGGACACATATGAAAATGTGATAATGGTAATGATATGGTCTCTAGAATTCTAGTACAGTAAGAACTATAGAAATCAAGAAAAAGGGAAACTTATCCATTTGAGGAAGGCTTCACAGGGGAGCTAAAGCTTGAGTTGGGGCCCAAGAGTGTGTCTGGCCTGTCTGGAAGAAGATAAATGAGCTGATAGAAAGTGTGGATGGTAAAGGTAGCAGGGGGAACTTGAAATGTACCTGGCTGGTTCCAGGGATTCTTTCTGAAGAAAGTGGGAGATGAGGTCGTACAGAAAGTGAGTGAGTGGATAGAATCAAGCCGAGGTACCTTTGCCCCAGGAGAGAACATAGTTAACGTTAACTGATACTCTTCAAGTGAAGACAGAACTAAGCATCAGGAAAGAGACTCAACAATACTTTGCCACTGTCATTTTCTGATTAGCCTCAGACATTTGGGATAATAGTTCTCAGCCATCACAGACTGGCACCTTGGGTTCCTTTTTACTTTGCTTTTTAATTCCTGTGTGCAGTTGCTTGCCAGGACGTGTTGATCCTGCATCCACTTTTCTCTCCATTCCTGATGTCATCACACTGCTTTGGGCCATTGATAAAACTTCCGGGAGTTAACCCAGAACACTCCTCTCTTGCAGGATTGTTTTCTTTCCTCCCACTTGCCAGGTGTGCTGCCATCTCTTCCAGGTGCGTCACTTCTGCCAAGACTTTTAGTGGTTCTGGGTATGTTGAACTAGCCATAGAACAGCTGGCATGAAAGTATGGGCAAATGTTTTTATTGGCCACACCTTCAGATTTTACTGTTATTTCCTGATTATTTGAATTGCTTGCTCTGTGTGCTTTACTGTTTGTACTTATCTTGGCTTTTTCTACCTTAAGTGACCCTCTTGAATTATTCTTACATATGTTTAGGGCTGTTTGTAGGAAACTTCTGTGAATTGTTTCTGTGCTTTTCTTCCCACGTAATTAGTGCTCTCCTTAAAATGACTATAACTCTGTAGTCTTTTTGTCTTAACTTTCAGTCACGACATAGGACTGAAGCTTTCTCCAGATGTGAATCATGATCTTTGTCTCTAGCAAAGTTTTTTTACTTAGTAGATACTTAGCAAATATATTGAGAAAAGCTTTGAACTAGATGGATACAAAAAAATGCTATGCGGAAAGAAAATGCTGCCATAAAGTATGTAAATAATGTTATTTATGAGAGAATCCCTTACTGAGAGACAGTGTATTGGTCTGGATAGCTTGGGTTAAACAATACTAACAAAAGTTTTAAAGATTTCAGTGATTTAACAGAACTGAAATTGATTTCTTCTTCATGCTACTAGGGGACTCTGCTTCCATAGGGGTCACTCAGGAACCAAGACAATTGGTGGTCAAGTGAATGCTGGCTTTTTAAAAGATTCTGTCTCAGTGTGGCAGATTCTGTCTCTTTCATTTATATTTCATTGATCAAAGCATGTCACATGGCCAGACCTAACTTTATTTTATTTTATTTTATTTTTTTTTTGGCTTTTTCCTTTTTTACCGGTACCAGGGATCGAACTCATGACTGCCTGCTTGCAAGGCAGGCGCTTATGCCGCTGAGCTAAATCCCCAGCCCCTAGACCTAACTTTAAAGCAGGTTGAGGAATTGTACTCTTAGCATATGCCTAGCAACAAAGGACCAAAACGATTTGATGAACAGCAATAAAGACTACATCTTCTATGGGTGTCATAGACTGTCAAAGATTAGAGATGGCCCTCCTTTAAAAAAAAAAAAAAAAGATTTAGAGAGCAGGAATAAGAAGTACTACTATCAGATACAAACATTGATAATAGCAAGAATTAATAGCTCTAGGCATAGTGGAAAGGTAGATTCAGAGTTAAAAGTCTATAACAAGAATTTATAAATGCCAAGGCCAATTATACGAGGATAATATGTTCCATATATAACATAGTTATTCCTGAAGGCATTACTTTTTCTGGCCTTCGTAATCAACAAAGCATGACCTTGTGACATCCAAAAATTTAAAAAGTTGAATTACATTCAAGATACTGGATTTAAGAAATCTGTAGTTATTTGAAATGCATTTTCATATGATTGGATAAAATAAAGAACTTACAGTTGAATTGAGACTAGCAAAGTTGTTATTTGGGGAGGTTGCACTTTTGACAAAGAATAAGCAGAGAAGGTTGGATGGAGCCCTGGTTCAGGAAACAGAAGATCTGGCTTCAGAGCTTGTCTGTACTACTAACTGACATTGAAAGTGTGTGTATGAGAGCCAGACATGGTGGCTCATGCCTGCAATCCCAGCACTCGGGAGGCTGAGACAGGAGGATTGTTGCGAGTTTGAGACCAGCCTGGGCTACAAAGTGAGCTCAAGGCCAGCCTGAACTGCACAGTGAGACCCTGTTTCAAAAAGACAAAGAAAGAAAGAAAGAAAGAGAGAGAAAGAAAGAGGAAGGAAGGAAGAGAGAAAGAAAGAAAGAAAGAAAGAAAGAAAGAAAGAAAGAAAGAAAGAAAGAAACTGTGTATATGTGTGTGGTGTTGGGGGTTGATCCCAGGGCCTTGAATGTTAGGCAAGTTTTGTACCACTGAGTTACATCTCCAGCCCCAGGTTCTTCCAGACCGAGTTTCCTTGTCAGAATGCTGGGATTATGGCATACATAGCGCTGTTGTAAAACTAAATGAATTAGTTCCGGTAAAGTGCTTTGCACAGTAAAATACCTAGCTCAAAGTAAACATTCAAAATCAGAGTAGCAGCAGCAGCAACAATAGCAGGATTTGAAGACATTTCAAAAGAACAGATAAGGAAGCCCCAGAAATATATGAATTCTCTCAGATTTTCCTGTTTCTTTTTCTTTCCTCCCTCTTCCTTGGACCACATTCCTGCCATGCCTTTTAAAATTTTCATATCTTATTGTATACTTAAGTGCCTATCCCACTATACTAAGTAGTCTAGTTATTCCAGATATTTATTGGACACAAGCTCTGTGCTAGACTATGTGTTATGGCACTGGAAGTGTAAATGATACGGCTCTGGCCTCAGAAAGCCTATAGTTTGGGAGGACCTGAGGGAAGTAAACCAGTAGTTATAATACTGTCAGGCCACAACATGCTTATAGGCTTGGTTCTAGGACACTTGGTTCTAGGAATACCAAAACTCAAGGACATTCATGTTCAGACAGCAGAGTGTTTGCATATAACACTCAAAAGAGTTCCTTCATCTTTGTTAGC